TTCTGCTTGAAACTGGCAGCAGTAGGAGACAGAGCAGCAGCAGCAGCAGCAGCAGCAGCACAGTTTGTGTCTCTATTCTGCAGCAAAGGAAGAGACCCTGGAGGTGTACCTACAGCCCATGATGCAGCAGCAGAAGAACGAGAAGAAAAACTACGAAGAGATGCTGTTGTTTGCTGCGCAGACACCCGAATGCCGCTGCTGCTTGCTGCTGCTGCTGCTGCTGCTGGTGACGCAGCAGAAGCAGAAGCAGGCGTGTCTGCAGATACAGCAGATATATCATTTAGCACATGACGATCTTGCAATCTGCTGCTGCTGCTGCTCCTCCGTTGGCTGTCTCTGTTGCTGCTGCATCCAGCAGCAGCAGCAACAGGAGCAACAGACTGCTGCCGTTGGTGCTGCAGCAGGGACCGCGAAGGCAGCAGCAGCTGCTGCGGCTGCTGCGGTGCAGCAAGACTACTCACTTTGTCTTGGTATGGAGGGGTTAACCGCAAAGACACTGGGTTTGCTGCTGCATCCAACGGTTTTGCTGCTGCTGCTGCTGCTACTGCTGCTGCTGCTGCTGTGTCTGGCCTCTTGATCCCCATAGAAGGGGGTGGCGGGCGTAATTCCATGGAGCTGCGTCTTGGTCGCTGCAGCACATGATCTGCTGCTGCAGTTGGTGCTGCAGCAGCAGCTGCTGCTGCTGCTACTGCGTCGGGGACAGGGTAGAGCTGCTGTCGCCCCGTTGCAGCAGCAGCAGCAGCAGCAGCAGACGGAGACAGATTTTTAAGGCCGCAAGAACTAAGAGGGAGGCCGCCGGGTAGAGACACATCTGCCCCAGCAGCAAACCCTCCATCTACTGCTGCTGCTGCTGTTGCTGCTGCTGCTGCAGCACGAGGAGACACCTCAAATTGCTGCACTCTTATAGCAGCAGGAGACAATAAATCCTTAGAGTCCCTTAATGTGTCTCTAAATGCAGCAGCAGGAGACAAGGATATATCAGGTAGCTGCAGCAGCGGCTCATCATCCTCTTCCTCCTCTTGCTGCTCGTGCAGCAGCAGCTGCTGCTGCTCATGCTGCTGCTGTTGCTGCTGTTGTTGCTGCTGTTGCTGCTGTTGTTGCTGCTGCAAAGAATCGCTTGGAAACGAAAAGATGAGGTCCCTAGACACCTGAGCTGCTGCACGCTGCCGTTGCCGCTGCTGCTGCAGATGCTGCTGCTGCTGCTTTACAAGCATCTGGTGTTGCTGCTGCAGCAACTTTTCCTTCTGCAGCAGTTGCTGCAGGTCGACCTGCTGCTCTTCCTGCTGCTCCTGCAGCAGCAGCAGTGGAGATTCATTGCCTGCTGCAGGGCTATATTTGTACTTATAAAGGATATCAGGAGACCCATCAGGGGGGCCCCCCAGCTTATCTGTGGTTAGGGGCCCCCTGGGGCCCCCTGTACCCCCCCGGGGCACCACTGGTCTGAGGCCCTTTGGCATTTGTGGGGTGTATTTTTATGTTGGGATCGGGAGGCGATCCCAGACGATCCCAGACGATCCCTGAGTCGATCCCAAGACGATCCCAGAGGCGATCCCAACGACCAACCCCCCCGTGTTGCTGCTGCTGCTCCCTTTGCTGCTTGATGGGGAGTTAGGGGATAATAAAGGATAAAAAAAGAAATAAATTATTTATTTTATTTAAGACAATTTATAATAAAAAAAAAGAAAAAAAACAACAAAAGGCAAAAGGCCTGCGGGGCCCCCAGGAGGGGGGGGTTGCTGTGGTGTGACAGGGAGGCAGCAGCAACAACAATAGTAGCAGCAGCAACAGCAGCAATAGCAGCAACAGCAGCAGCAACAGCAGAAGCAGCAGCAGGGGGACCCCCTAAAATTTATAAGAATCTAATGTTAGGGAAAAGGAAGAATTTTTATTTATTTAGATTTACCTGTTGCTAGTTATTTTGTATAGTACTAAACCCTAAACCCTAAACCCTAAACCCTAAACCCTAAACCCTAAACCCTAAACCCTTGGGTTACTAGCCGCTGTAGAAGTTCTATCTGGCTGTGTATGTCCATTGCAATAGTATCGCTTATTCAATACCTGTTTATACAGAAGGAATTTAGGGTTTAGGGTTTAGGGTTTAGGGTTTACAGGGAATGCGGCTCTTAACAGCAGCTTCCAAGGGGCCCCCCTGGTTGGGGGGCCCCCTTGTACAGCGAACAGCCTCGCTGCTGATCCTACGGCGTCCTCAGATACTTCTACGGTTCGCTACATACAGCAGCAGCAGCAACAGCAGCAACGACAGCAGCAGCAGCAATATTAACAGCAGCAGTAACGACGACAGCAACAGCAGCAGCAGCAGCAGCAGCAAGAGCGTCGACACACCAAACAGTCTGCAAGAAAGCGCAGTGTCTTCAGTGGTCCCTGCAACTCCTGCTGCTGCCCAGCTCTCCAGCAGCAGCAACAGCAGCATCAGCAGCAGCAACAGCAGCAGCAGCAGCAGCAGCAGGCAGCGACGAGAGGGCTATATAGATGTGTTATTTAAATGGGGGGTTGGAAATTCTTTTAGAGCTCAAAATGCTAACAGGTCTGCTGCTGCTGCTGCTGCTGCTGCTGCTACAGTTGCTGCTGCTGCAGTTGCTGCTGCTGCAGTTCATATTGCTGCTGCTGTTCCTGCAGCAATATATCTTTGCTGCTGTAACATATGCTGCTGTTGCTGTTGCTACTAATTATACATCTGTTTCCTCCTTTCCTTCTTCTTTATCCATTACTGCTGCTGCTGCTGCTGCTGCTGCTGCTGCTGCTGCTGCTGCTGCTGCAGGTACCGTCCTGTACACCTCCCCCGTCCTACTCGTATATCCTTACCATCTAATTATTTTATATCTCCAATAAAAAATATTTCTTTTGATGAATTAAATGAACAATGGGAAGTTTTATACTATGAATATAACAAACAAAGCAGCAAAACTTTCCCTATAAAAAAATTTGGTGCTGCAGCAGCAAAAAAAAATGCAATACAATTTGCCCAATTAATGATTGTAAGTAATTATTTTTTTTTTTTTTTTTTTTTTTTTTTTTTTTTTTTTTTTTTTTTTTTTTTTTTTTTTTTTTTT